CCACAAAGGAGGAAAAAAATGGGTAGAAAACTTATTTTGAAAATAACAGAAAACTTTCTAAATCTAGGGAAAGATATCAATATTCAGGTCCAAGATGGTCAAAAGTCTCTAACTAAATTCATTTCAAACATAACTACATCAAAACAAAGTCAGACTGTCAAAAATCAGAGACAAAGAGAAGATCCTAAAAGCAGAAAGAGAAAAGAAGCAAATCTCATGTAAGGGAGTTCCAGTAAGGCTAGCAGCAAAGTTCTCAACAGGTTCCACACAGGCCAGGAAAGAGCAGGCTAATATATTCAAAGTGCTGAAGAAAAAAACGACAAACCAAGAATACTGCATTCACCAAAGCTGTGCTTCAGAAATGGAGATACCAAGTCTTTACCAAACAAACAAAAGCTAAGGAAATTCATTAACCCCAGATCTGTCTTACAAGAAATGCTAAACAGAGTCGGCAAGACTAAACAATGCTAACTAGTAACACAAAAACATAAAGCTCACTGGCTAAAGTAAGTACACAATCAAATTCAGCATTTTCAAATACTTTAATGATGGCCACATATATCTGTACTATAAAAGTATGAATCTCTTTTATCTTTAGCATGAAGTTTAAAAGGTAAAACTATTTAAAATAATAGCTACAATAATTTGTTAAGGGATATATTCTATCAGAAGATATACATTGTGACATTAAAATTTTTAAATGCAGGGAGATGTGGAGTAAAAGTGCAGAGATTTTATGCAATCAAAGTTAAGTTGTTATCAGCACAAAATAGCCTGATATAAGATTTTTTTTGTAAGCATCATGGAACTTCACCTTCACAAAGCAAAAGCCTAAAGTAGATATACAAAAAAATAAAAAGGAATCAAAGCATCCCACTAGAAAAAATTACTTAATCACAAAGAAATACAGCAAGAGAGGAAGAAAGGAACAAAAGGTCTACAAAACAGCCAGAAAGCAATTAACAAAATGGTAATATTAGAACCTTACCTACCAATAATTATCTTGAAGGAAAATGGATTAAATTATCCAATAAAAAGACATACAGTGGCTGAATAAATTTAAACATAAGATCCAACCATATGCTGCCTACATGACACTCATTTCACCTATAAGGACAAAAATAAACTAAAAGTAAAGGGATGGAAAAAAAATTCCATGCAAATGGAAACCAAAAGAGAGCAGATGTAGTTATACAGATTGAGTATCCCTAATCCAAAAATCTGAAATCTGAAATACTCCAAAATTAATAAAATTTTAAGTACTGGCATGTTCAAAGGAATTGCTCATTGGAGCATTTTGGATTTTGGTGCTTAGGGATGCTAAAAAAGTAATACTATGTGTATTAGTCCATTCTCACACTATTATAAAGAATACTACCGGAGACTGGGTAATTATGAAGGAAGAAGTTTAATTGACTCCGTTACACAGGCTTAACAGGAAGCACAAATAGGAGGCCTCAGGAAACTTGCAACCATGGAGGAAGGTGAAGGGGAAGCAGGCACCTTCTTAACAAGGCAGCAGAAGGCAGTGTGAGTGTGTGAAGGAGGAACTGTCAAATACGTATATCACCACCTGATTTTATGAGAACTCACTCATTATCTTGAGAACAGCATGGGAGAAACTGCCCCCATGATCCAATCACTCCCACTGGGTCCCTCTCATGGCATGTGGCAATTATGGGGATTACAATTCAAGATGAGATTTAAGTGGGGACACAGAGTCAAACCATATCATAATGCAAATATTCCAAAATTTAAAAAATTCTAAATTCTAAAAAACCAAAACATAACTATAATGTAAATATTCCAAAAAATTAAAAATTCAAAACACTTCTGGTTTCAGGAATTTTGGATAAAGGAACCTCAATCTACATGAGGTAAAACAGACTTTAAGTCAAAAACTGTAAAAAGAGACAAAGAAGATTATAATATAATGATAAAGAGATCAATTTGTTATAACAGTGATAAATACCTATTAATATATATACCCAAAATTTGAGTACCTACATATAACAACGAAAAAATATTAACAGATCTCAAAGGAGAGCTAGACTGTAATATAATCATAGTAGCAGACTTCAACAGCTCCACTTTCAGCCATGGACAGATCATCCAGACAGAGAATCAATACGGAAACGTGAGACTTAAGCTGCACTTTAGACCAAATGGACCTAACAAAAATATACAGAACATTCTGTCCAACAGCAGCAGAATACACATTATTCTCAAGTGCACATAGAACTTTTCCACAATAGATCATATGTTAGGTCGCAAAACAAGTCAACAAATTTAAGAAGAGTGGAATCATACCAGGTATTCTTTTCAGATCATAATTGTATGAAACTAGAAATCAATGATAGGAGAATATTGGAAAATCCACAAATACACAGAAATTAATCAAGATGCTCCTGAACAATCAATGAGTCAAAGAAGATATTAAGAGATAAATGTTTAAAACCCAAGACAAATGAAAATGGGCACACTAAAATACCAATAACTTACAGTATGCAGCAAACGTGGTTCTAAGAGGGAAGCTTTTAGCAATAAACACATCAAAAAAGAAGAAAGATCTCAAATAATCAATCTAACATTACACCTCAAAGAACTAGACAAAGAAGAAAAAGAATTAACCCAACAGTTAGTAGAAGGAAAGAAATAAAGATCACGGCAGAGATAGTGAAGTAGAGACTAGAAAAAATGATAGAAAAAAGAAATAAAATAGTTGGTTCTTAAAAAGGTAAACAAAACTGACCAACTTTTAACTAGATTAAGAAAAACAAAGAAGACTCAAATAAAATCAGAAAGATGAGGCATTACAATTCCTCGAAACAAAATACCTCCCAAGACCGACTCAGGAATACACAGAAAACAACAGACCAATAATAAGTATAAGATTGAATCAATAATAACAAGTCTTTAATCAACAAAAAGCCCAGGACCTAATGGCTTCCCTGCTTAATCACACCAAATATTAAAAGGACTAATGGCAATCCTCCTCAAACTCTTCCAAAAAACTAAAGAAAACAGAATGTTTTCAAATTCATTTTATGAGGATAGCGTTATGCTGATGCCAAACACAAAATAGTGTAAGAAAAGAAAATTACAGGCAATATCCCTGATGAACATATGTGGAAACACTAGAAAACTCAATCCAACAGCACATTAAAAGGATCATTCGTCATGACTGAGGGCAATTTGTCCCAGGAATACAAGAAAAGTTCAACACACACAGATAAATAAATGAAAGGATAAATGGATGATAAAAATGTGTGTGTGTATATGTGTGTGTGTGTAACACACACACATATACACACACACAATGGAATATTATTCAGCCTTAATAAAGAATTAATAAAGAAGGAAATCCTGCCTTTGCAGCGACATGGTTGAACCTGGAGGACATTATAAGCGAAACAAGCCAGACACAGGAAGGAAAATACTGTGTGATCTCACTTACATGTGGAATCTAAGAAAGCTGAACTCTTACAAACAGAGTAGAATGGTGATTGCCAGGGCTTGGGAAGGGGCAAATGGAAAGATGTTGGTCAAAAAATACAAATGTACAGTTTTGTAAGATAAACAGCTTCTGGAAATCTCATGTACAGAATGATGACTACAGTTAATAATACTGTATTGCATACTTGAAATCTGCTAAAAGAGTTGATCTTAAGTGTTCTTATGTACAATGAATATTTTCATTAGCTTGATTATGGTAATAATTTCACAATGTACATTTATATTAAAACATACTGTACATCTTAAATATATAAAATTTTTGTCAAGTGTACCTCAATAAAACTGGAAAACATAATCAAAAAGTAATGAAAAAAATGAAAAGCTATTATGTGCCAAAGGACACTATCAACAAAGTGAAAAACAACCTATTGATGAAGGGAACCTATAGACAAGGGCTGGTATCCAGAATATATTAAGATCTCTAGGCTGAGAGCAGTAGCTCACACCTGTGAATCCTAGCACTTTGGGAGCTCAAGTTGGGAGGATCACACGAACTCAGGAGTTCAAGGCTGCAGTGAGCTATGGCTGGCCCACTGCACTCCACCCTAGATGATAAGGTGAGACTGCCATCTCTTAACTCACTTCTTGTTTAGAAAAAAAAGTGCAGCTCACTGCCAGCAGAGTATTCTTCAGGCAAACAAGAAATGAGAAAAAACAAAAACAAAAATCCTCTTACTGTTCAACAACAAAAAGAAAAACAAGAATATAAATAAACATTTTTCCAAAAAAGATGTACAAATAGCCAACAAGTACATGAAATGATGGTTAACATCATTAGTTTTGCAGAGCTGACACAGGACCACACTGATTGCACTAAAGAAGGTCAGTCTGTGGAAGGAAGCTTAGAGCGTCAAACGGGGCACGTTAAGGAGGCGTAACCCATCACACTGGCTTTTCTACTGTTGAGATGTGTTTCTGGTCACTCGCAGGTACCAGGACTCCCTGAATCCAGCAGGCCTTAGAACAGAGGAAGGCGGAGGGCGGCCTCCTGCAAACCTCTCCTACCCCTGCCAGTTTCCAACCCAGGGGCCGGAGCATCGGGGCTCCCCGTGCTGGCGCTTGGAAGAAGAAACGCCCTCAGCCCCCACTTCTTCCAGGGGCTCCGACCCACCTACCTGGGCTCAGCCCGGGAGCCGGCGGGTGCACGGAGCGGGGTCGCGCCCTGGAACTCGGGAGAAACGCCCAGCCGGCAGCGCAGGGGCGCAGTCCTGCCCTTCCCGGCGGCCTCGGCCGGGCGCCCACCCGCGCCCCCCCGCGCCCCCCCGCGCCCCCCGCGCCCCCCCGCGCCCCCCGCGCCGCCTGCGGCCCCCGCCCCGCCCCACCCCGTGCCCGCCCCTCTGCGGAGCGCAGGCGGCCTGGGTCGGGTCCCGGGGCCCCTCGCGCGCTCCAGAAGCGTCAGTGTTCTCCGAGCGGTCACGGCCGGCCGCGGCTCCCACCCTGGCGCCCCTGGATTGCTCTCCCCAAGCCCAGCGTCACCCCCTAACCTCCACGCCTTCCACCCAGTCCTTTGCGGCCTCAGAAGGACAGGAGCCATCTGCCGGCCAGAGCCGCTCGGCCTCAAACCCGGCGGGCTGTGGACTGGACTCTCCCTCCCGGGCGGCCGGGGCGGCGGCGAAGCGTGGGGTCTGCCGCCCCCTGCCGGCCCGGATGACGTTCGCGTCTGGGTCCGCGCTGCCCAGCGATGTTCCCGCTGGAACGTTTGGAAGGCAAGGCTGAGAATCAATGCTGTTTGCAAATCCCAGCAAAGCAAAGAAAAAAACGTGTTGCTCTTCTGTTTAGCAGAAGGTTTTCCCAGCCAAGCCAGCACTTCTGTGGGTTGTATTTAAGTCTCAAGTGCGTCAGAGCTGTTGCCTGCAGGCGCTGGTATTGCCCAAGGGGAAGTTTGAGGACAATGTCTCTGAAAACTCCAGACTCTTGGATGAAGCAGCCTTTCCACATTAAGCGTGCAGCATCATCTACCAGGTCCTACGATTTGCCGATCATGCAAAAGGAGCAAGTCTCTGAAAAACAGGGCTTTCAAAGAGCCTTTTAAAGAGAAAAAAAATACGTTGAAAGGGCTGATTCATTGCTTATTTTTTGTAGGCTTTGCGTCTAAACTGATCCCCTTAAAGGTGTTTATGGGTACGAATGATAAATAATGAAAGGGATCAAAATAGGAATGTTTCATTCACCTTATCCTGGTCCAGCAGGTGCACTTCAGGCCCTAGACTCTGGTCGAACTCCCCAGTTTCTGCCATTCCTTGGCTTTGTTTGCTTCAGATTGATCAGAGTGCTGTGACTACAGTAGGTGCTCGATAAATGCTTATTCTGGGTACTACCATTAATGCCCGTGGCAGCGACTGCAGACGAGCGGGATCCTGCAGCAGCGAGGCATGGGCTGGAGGGCCTGGCTCTGGCATCCAACTCTGCTCCATCTGCCACACTAGCTTTGTGACTTCCAGGAAGCTATGAACCTCTCTGCTCAACTCTCTATTAGTAAGACCAGAGTGGTAGTATTAGCACCTCCTTCATAGGGTTGGAGTGAGGAGTATGAAACAACCTGTGTAATGGTGCCTAATTAATGTGTAAACTACTCATTGGAAAAGGAACTAGTATCCAGAATACACAAGGAACTCAAAAATCTTAACAACAAAAAAAATACAATTAAAACATGAGCAAATAATCTGAATGATCAAAAGAAACGTTACAAAATGTCCAACAAATGTATGAAAATGTGTTCAACATCAGTAATCCTCAGGGAAATGCAAATCTAAACCACAATGAGCTATTGTCTCTCCCCAGTTAGGATGGTGAAAAAAAATACCATGCTGGTGAGAATGCAGAAAAACAAAAGGGAACTTTATACACAATTGGTGGGAATTTAAACTACTACAGTAACTCGGAAGAACAGTATGGAAGTTCCTCTAAAAACTACAAACAGAAGTATCCTATGGTCCAGCGATCTCAGTATTGGGCACTTATCCAATGGAATGGAAATCATTATATCGAAGAGTCATCTACAGCCCCAGGTTTATTGCAGCACTATTCACAATAGCCAAGATGTAGGAATCAACCTAGTTGTCTGACCACACATAAATGGATAAATAAAATGTATTATATACGTACCATGGAATACTATTCAGCCATAAAAAATAATGGAATTCTGTTGTTTACAGCAACATGGATGAAACTAGAGGACAGTATGTTAAGTAAGCCAGGAACAGAAACGTAAGCAGTGAATGTTCTTTCTCATAATGTTACCATAGGTGGCCAGTAAGGTATGAGCAGGCAGAAGAGGGCTTCCCCCCACCTCCGCCCCCAAACATACACCAGGAGTGTAGCCAACCAGGAGGTGATGGTCAGGTGGTTATTAACTAACTGCCTCGCTAAAGCAATAATTGATCACAGCTGGCATCAGTGTAAAGCAGTCTCCCACCAGATAGAAAACACCTGAAGCTGGTCATCAGCAGCTTCCTGGTAAGATCTCCGGAGCTGCGCGAGTCGGGAGAAGGGACACAAGACCCCGGGAGCACGCCAACGTATAAAACCCCCCGGTCCAAAGGTCAAGGCACACACTCGCCTTTCGAGTCACCCTCTTGGCTTTATTCCAAGTGTGCTTTCTTTCCTTTCACTCCTGCTCTCAAGCTTTTCGATAAACTTTCACTCCTGCTCTTAAAACGTGCCTCAATCTTGCCTTCTACCTCGTGCCCTTCAGTCAGATTCGTTCTTCTGAGGAAGCAAGAATCGAGGTTGCTGCAGACGCATGTGATTTGCCACTGGTAACAATATGTGGCAGCTAAAAATGTTGATCTCGAAGAAGTGGAAAGTAAAACGGGACAATAGAGGCCTGGAAGGACGGTAGAAGGGGAACAGGAAGAGATGGAGAGATTTGTTAAAGGCTACAAAATCACAGCTCAATAGCAGGAATAGGTTCTAGGGTTCTATGCCACTGTAGGATGAATATGGCTAACAAGAATATATTGCCAGCTTTTAAGTAACTAGAAAGAGCATATTGAATGTTTCCAACACTAATGAGTGATAGACTTTGAGATGATTAATGGATATGCTAACTACCCCCTTTGAACTCTGTACATTATGTGTATTGAAGTATCTCTATGTACTCCATGAACGTGTGCAATTATTATTTGTCAATAAATTTCTTCTATCTTGATCTTATAGAATTGGAGAGTAGAATAGTGGTCACCAGAGGGTGAGGAGGGTAGTGGGGAGGAGAATGGAGAGAGGTTCGTGTTGGCTACGAAGATCCAATTAGATTGAAAGAATACGTTCTGGTGTTCTATGACACACTAGGGTGATATAGCTCATAAATATGTGTTGTACATTTCAAGATAACTAGAAGACAGGATTTTGAAGCTTCTCTCTACAAAGAAAGGATAAATGTTTAAAATGAGGGGTATGGTAATCACCCTGATTTGATTGTCAATTATAAATAAAACTTCTAAAAGGAGCTTAGTACAGTGCCTAGTGTATAGGCCATTAATCAATCAAGTATAGCCATTATTATTATTATTATTCCTTCCTCCCAATAGTAAATTGCACTGCAGTGGTTAAAGATAATCACTTGAGATCCATATATTTGCATTAGAACCTGGCTCTTCCAATTTCCATTGATATAACTACAGTCAAGTGAGTTTCAATGTTTCGATCTGTAAAATGGTAATGATAATACCAGAAAATATAGTGATCATAGCATGATATGATTCATAGTGCTGTTTGTGCCTGGCACAGATCAAAAAAACTACAATAAATCATTGCTAGTAGTAAAATAAAAATTGTAAAAAGGGTATGTTGAGGTTAGCCATCAATGCTAATTGTCCTCTAAGGTAATAATGTCTTTGTCTAATTTCACCTCTCCACTTATTTGCTTATCAGAAGTTGATTGCTAGGGATTGCCAGAGTGTCTGAACTCAGAGGCACCTTCCCACCTGAAGGGCAAGGGCTGTCTGCAGCCCCTGGTGGAACCCTGGTTGCCAACATCAGTCCTTCCACTTAGAGCAGTTCTCGAGCAGTCTTTGATGCAAGGTAATATTGGAAGAATTGCCTCAAGCACGTTCAATGTTAATTACTATTGACTGTGGCCTGGTAGGTGGAAAGGTTGCCTAGAGGGACCAAATGCAGAGACCTTAGCTCTCACAGTTATTTATATATTGGAACTTTGTTTTCAAAGTAGGTCAAATGAAACTAAACAATGTGTGGAATAGTTCATCAGTGGTCGCAGACAGGGAAGGGTTCTGGAAGGGACTGGGCTGGAGAACGCCCCAGTTTGAGTGTAGTTGTGGGTTGTTGCTCCCTTGCCTACAGATTCTTTCAAAACAATGTCCCTACAACTTACTGAACTAGAAAGTCAGCTCGGTGGATTCCTTCTTCTCTGGCCACTCTTAAGGGACTTCGGTACTGTTGGATTCAGAAAAGGGCTTTTACGAATTCAGGGAACCACCTTCCCTTACTGCATCTAACACTAAGAAGAAGAAAACCAGTGTTTTGTGAAGTTCAAATGACCTCTCAAAGAGGGGGGGCTCTTTTTCTCCACAAATAAGATACTTTTCTTTTCCAAGGGGCTTGGGGCTCCCCAAGTTTGTGGCACGCCCTGCCTTCAGTGGTCCCTCATGGCCTTTGGGTTAAAATCCACAGCATCGAGCAAGGCAGTCTCCCCTCCTCCAGCCATCTGGCCCAGTCTAGTTTCCTGTCTCACCCCTCCCCCAGTGCTCCTCACCTGCTTATTTGGGTCTAACCAGGTGTGTTAGTCAGCTCAGGCTGCCATCACAAAATACCACACACGGAGGGATTTAGACATACACATTTCTTTCTCCTCGGTCTGGAGGCTAGAAGTTCAAGATCAAGGAGTTGGCAGGTGCAGTGTTCGGTGAAATCTCTCTCCTTGGCTTTTAGACGTCCTAACTCCTGACTGCACCCTCATATGGCATCTCCTCTGCTTCTGTGAGGAGAGAAAGGGATGGGGTGTGTGTGTGTGTGTGTGTGTGTGTGCAGAGATGTCTCTCTTCTTTTCACTGAGGCATAAATCCCATCATGGGAATTTCATCATGGCCTCTGCCACATGAGGACACCGTAATAAGGAGCCACCAGATGCTGGCACCTTGACTGGGCACCTCACAGCTGCCAGAACTTTGAGACACACATTTTTGTCCTTTATAGATTACCCAACCTGTGACATTTTGTTACAGCACTACAGCCTGAGACATATGGTGTGGCTTCTCTTCCCACCCCTGTAGTGACTTCTTCTTTGATAAATTCAGCGAGCATTTTTCAGTCTTCATCTTTGTGAAAGGACATTTTGGTAGAGCGGGAACTGGAGCTCAGAGTTGGGGTGTCTCCTCGATTAATTTACAGTTGGGGCTTGGATACTGTTTTAAACCTGGGAGGAGCATCCTAATCATCTCGACACAATCACTGATGTGACTGCACTACAGATAGACTATTTCCACTTAATTCTACCACTCTTGCTTTACTTCATGAGAATGAAAATATAATAATGCACCATAAATTCATTTGGGGAAACATTGATATTGTTTTATTCTAAAATATATTCATTTATTTAAGCTATACCTACTGG